GCCAGAGCGAAGGGCTCGGCAGCCATGTTCCTTCGCACATGCGCAAAATGCGCAAAATGCGACAGTTTACCACTGTCTCTTCCTAGGGCTGAGAGAGAAAAGCTCATCCAGCTGGCTTTGTGCCTAAAGCGGAACTAGAACTCACAGTCTTCCTGTTTTTAATGTTGCCTTAACCACTATACCAAACTGGTGTTCATAAAAAACAACAACAGGGAATTATTAAAGTAGTAATAAAAATATTTAAAACAGTATTTCTATAAAGGCAGCAGTTAAATTAGGCATTTAAAGGACTCTCAAATCCAATCTTTATTATAGTTAAAGACCAACATAATCAAACTCTTAAAAGTAGAAAGTTTCAAGCAACTTCTAGAACCTGTGTAACAAGATATTAATATTTTTTAAAATAACTGAATATTCCCATTTATTTTTACTTCTTTATATTTCATTATTCTACAATGTTATTTCATTTTAATGATTTTATGTACTTGAGATCACTCCCATTCAGATAAATTTTCTTAAATTGAATTTCTTAGTGTCAGCTGAAGTTCTGAGTCTGAAGACGATAAAATGATCAAGTTCTCAAGCTAAATATCATGTTCTCAAGCTCATATCATTTTTTAAGGCCGAGAATGAAAAACAAAAAGACTTAGAACACACCTGCTATCTCGATCCCATAATAGTATTCGTATGTGATTGATTATTGATGGCTGACCCAATTTAATTTCAATACCAGAACGGCAGTCATCATCGATAGGATGCCGGGAAAATCCATGGTCTAGATCATAGTTCTGTGTGTCTCCATCTAATAAAGCTGATTTCAATTCCCCTTTAACCACTTGGGCTCCATATTTCATAGTAGCAATGTTCTCACCTGGAACTGCAATGAAAAGTAGTTTACCGTTTTCTTTCTAGCAAATTTCCAATTGATTGGTTAAAAATCTTTAATATGTTGAATAATTATAAAATGCAAATTTCCAAGAAATCAATCAAATTTGAATGATAATTAGAAATTACCTTGTGAATAAAAACAGCCTCTTTATAAAAATACTATTCCAATACATGGAATATGGAAACAGAAAAAAACCCAATCATAAAAATTTAGAGCTACCGCATTTAATTTAATAACATTTAGAATTAAGAAATATTCAACATGAATTCATTGTTTGAATTTTTGCAGAAAAGTGATGACTATATCTCAAAATTCCATAAATACATCAGTCAAAGAACTAATATTTCCCTCGCCACCCATTTCCTTGTGACCCTAAGACAACTTCCTGAAGTTATATCATAAAAAGAAAACAAACCTAGTTCACAAAACATTCCTGACATATACGCCAAGCAGTAGCACTCCCAACCCACTTAAGAAAGGATTAATTTCAAGAATAGTTTTTCACTGACTCAACCTTTAAATACCAAAACACAAAGAAAAAGGTTTTGCTATTTCACTGGTTTACTGAGGATTAGATGAATTAGGATCAGGTAATATAATTAGGATATACAATCAGTTATCAGCGGCAAAATATTTCTGCTAGTTAAAAGTTGTTTAGCAGCAACAGTTGGCTAACATAATTTTTAATTAAAATATTTTTATTTAAAAAAATCAAATTAAAAGTAATAAAAAGGAATGTATAAAACCTTCCTTTGTAAGTATCAAAATACTTACTTAACATGCCCCTATAGTTGAGGTCCATGTCCCGACTTTCAGATCGAACTTTAATGGCATCCAAAATAGCATCAGGAGATAGCAATCCCGAAGGTCTTACAACATTTAAAAGCTCTGTCAAACTCATCAATGGCAAGCGCACTGCCTTCATGATTTCAGCATGACTTTCCTTAGGATTGTGTTTACACCAGTTCATCAATGCTTGAAAAATGTCCTTTTCAGGAGCTGCAAATGAATCTCTCAGTACAATACTGAGAAGTGCTGGCTAAAAAGTAAAAAAGAAATGGCAGTAATATAAGATTGCTCAGTCAGCTCCAAGTAAAACTATACTATTTGAATTCTACAGTACAAGCTCTTCATTGTGAGCTAATAAATTCTGTTGGCAATAAACATTTGCTTATAATACCAAGATCCCACATATCCGCATAAAAACTTTACCCTTCCTACATAAAAGCAATAATAGTAGCAGTTCCTTACTAACAATTCAGGTATCTGAAGCTAGAGGAGATTATTCATTTCTATAATAGTTCAATGTAGTTCAATACAAACCTATTAATAAAATTAATAAATCAAATTAACTTGGAACAAAACTGTTCACCTGGTCCATCACTGAAACCTATTTTTGTTTTGTGAAGATGCTTTTTATTATAATGTGGGTTCTTTTTGGTTTTGTTTCTATTATTGTTTTTGTTTTACTCTACCCAGTATCCTCCTGGATTGGGGCAGATTCTAATTACATATTGATACTTTTAATTAACTATTACATAGTTTAATTAATTATTGCATGCAAGAGCAGAAACATTAACCTCCTGAACATAGCCTTTTCAAGAAGCATCTTCCTAATTTCAACACATTTCAGAGAAGGAAAGATTAAGAACTGAGGAATAATTGTGATTGAAAAATGGAACAATGATTATTCAGTTAGAATACATTCCAGGAATGACGGATTATTGAAAAGGCTTATTCAGGAAAGGAAAGGAAAATCATTTTTGAATACCATCTGGTCCACTGAAAGATAAACATTTGGATAATAGTTTTAAATTCTATTTCAACCATTTCAACAATGTTTCCAAATATGTATTTAAAAAGTAACTTTAAAAAAACTTTAAATTGTTGACATACCTTAGAAAGAGACAGAAAGCCTTCACTGGAGAGTACCTCTTGAGCATTTCGGTCCATAAATATGAAGCACATACATGTCAATTTAGGTAGTGAGTAGAGATTAGCAACGTCATAGGTCATGCAAACATTTTGAATGTTAAGAATGGTGCAAAGGTATTCAGAGGTAGAATCCTCCAGTTCTGGAAACCCATATTTATGTGCTAAACTCAAAAAATCTAATAAGACTTCTTCTTTCTCATCTCTTAATGTGGCACGACCTGTATAAATATATTTCAATAACATTGTAAAGGCTTCTGCGGTGGTATCATGGAGAGGGATTTCTGCTTCAGGCTGAGATTCACGCATTCCACCATATAACAACGCTCTGTTCAATGCAGAGAAAGAGGAAAAGTGAGGAAAATTTGCATTTGATAAAATCATGCAAGCTCTAAAACAAAAAGAATGAAATAACACAAATTCCAAAATTTCCACCCCCAAGTGCTATTTTTATCACTGTAAAATCATCACACTTAGTTCTTAAGACAAATATTTGGCAGCTTGCATCAAGCAGTTAAAATTATTTGCAATTGATTCCTGGACACGGCTATAGAATTCTGAATTTCAATCCTCATTAAATGTAGCCTATTAATTTGAGATACTTATGTAATGAAAGTTAAATATAACAGAGCAATGTACTGTTATTTTTTTAAATTTAAAAATAGGTATTGTTGGACAGATCAGGTTATTTCTTAATGGCTTTTTATTTCATCTTGCTTACCCAGAAATTCAAAGTATATCTGATTGGACACTATACTTCACCTGAAATACTGACACCTCGCAGCCAAAATCACTCGGTGTGCAGGAAAACGTTTCTTTTCCACAATAAAGGTAACATCACTGTATTCCTCCCCATTCATCAGAACACCAACATGATCGGACAGAATGTGAACGTGGTCTATTTCACCTACTGCTGTGTAAGGTCGGAGTGGATGACTGTTGCTCATGTTGTACAAGAAATGTTTATGCTACACCTAAAAAATACAGCATAAGAATATTGAAGAAAACCATTACAAATGTTAAATTGAGCATAACATAAATGTAAAGGTAGTGGACTAGGACCCAGAATTAAGTCCACGAACTTGTCAAGGAAGCTAACTGGGTGATCTTAGACCAGTCATTTTCTTACAACTCAACCTATTTCACAATGTTCTTGTAAGAAAAGAAATCGAGAAAATATATGCATGTAGAAAGTACCACCTATAAAATAGCAGACTATTATTTAATTACTTAATTTAATTTTGAGGCTTAGTGACTGAGGGATTTACAATTAAGAGAGAAGGAACTTACATAGAAAAAGCCAAAACTCATTAACTTAGTAGCAGTATAAAAAAAAACCCTAAACTTAATTGCCCTATCCAAAGGCCTGGGAAAACAAATACCTCAATCATTTTTTCAATGTAATCTCATACATAACAGACATAAACAAAATGCAGCAATATTTTCATCAAATCATTGCTACAACTGTTTTGTTGATATATAAACCATATAAAGAGGCCCTCTAAAAATTAAAATAAACCAAATAATTATGTTATAGTGCTTGCTCAATTGTATATTCTCTACATGTTAAAACTGATTCTGTAACCACAGCAGATCAGTTAGGCCCTATATAGGAGTGCTGAAATCAAATACAGAAAGCTGTAACATAACCTTTCATGCATAATTAGCTAGAATATGAATATTTATGAACTCTTCTCCCCAGAGTCTAATTAATTATCTGAAACAGAGATAAGAGTGATTTTTAATTATTAATATTATAAGATTTTCCTAAGAAAAGTTTAATCAAGGCAAAATTAACTATTCACTTCCTGTAAAGCTCTAATTGAATCCAATCTCAGAAGATAGAGCATTCACAGAAAGTGAAATCTCAACTATTTATATTCTAACAAACCTTTGAAAGGAATGTAGGTAGCTCTTGATTTAAGATAACAATTGGGACAGGAATTCTGGTCATTAAGCAATGTGATCTTGTGATTCATCAGGTAATCAAACCCAGTTTCACAACTATTTTTTATCGTAGTCATCAAAAGCATGGCCATTAGTAAATCTGTCTTTCTCTACTGATTTTGCTTGTCGGAAGCCAGTTGGGAAAGCAGCAAATCATGTTTATGTATCTGCAGATATTGCTGTAAATGCAAAGTAGCTGCCAAATGCCTAAATCACAATCACATGATCATGGTCTGGTATGGTGGTCATAATTTCTAGGACAGATCGTAAGTCACTTTTTTTTAGCACTGTCATAATCTTGATCCATTGTTAAATGAATATCATGACTCAAAGACTATGTACATTACATTATATTTCCAAAACATACTTTTGCCCTTTTTTCCATTCATGTCATCATACAGCATATAGTTTGAAGTTACTTCCCCCTCCCAAACTCCTATTTTGTCATGCGCGCCTCCTTCAGCAACCAAGAAAGAAACCACTTAACTCCATTTGTAGAATTAAAAGTACTTTTACTGGTTATGAAAAGATAGCAGCAAAGTAAAGCAAGGTCTGAGGCAGAAACGTGAGAAATCATACATACCAAACATTTGCCCAACCCCTTTCCCCCAACAACCCCCACCCCATTGCCCAATCTGCAAATCCCTTAGGTGTCATGTGGATGCATCTCCAAGAAGTATCATCAGATTGGAATGCAGGACCGTTGGCCTTGACCAACTCCAAACATCGGCAATCAGCATGCACAGAAGATGGTGAGAACAAAACTCCCTTTTTAACTAACCTCCTGTACCAATTATTTCCCATCCCAAATACTATGCCCCCCCTCCCCATTTCATGGCAGCAGAAAGCAAGTAACAAAGCAGAAGCTGACAATAAGGCTTTGTGTGCATTTATAAGCAATTCGTATTTTCAGTAAGCGGTTTTTATCTATACAAGAATACTATTATAGAATATCCATTTCATTATTTTAGGCATTCACAATTATATTGATATCATCTTATGGTTATATAATCAAATCATCTTTTGTTGTACAAAGACCAGATATTTATGCAACTCTTAAATCTTTACTTACATTTAATATAAGAGCTTAACTTGATGTAAGACCTTAACTTACATTATTTCAAACTAAAATACAAATGATAGATAATAAAGCTAGGAGTTTTAGCCACTTAAAAATAGCTCCTTGTCCTTTAATCTTTGTCCACATTTATACAGAATATGTTCATGAGAAATATGAAGGTCGGTTAAACCAAAGTAGAGGGAAATGTTGTTTTCTGAAAAGTAGTTCATTCTGTGTGACACAAATTGGAAAAAAAACCAGCAACAAAAAAGGTACATGGTTTGATCTTCAAAAACCATTGATAACCTTTATAGCTGTTTCACAACTTTTTATGAAGCTGTAATGCAGGTCACAGACAAATTCTGCCTACTTTCCTTGTAAAGGAAGAGAGAGCCAAATGTTATATAGGGGATTATATAGGGAATCAACCTATTCTCCAAAGCACCTGAAGGCAGAAGCAGCAATGATGGATGGAAACTAATCAAGGAGAAACCAATCTAGAAATAAGAACTAATTTTTTCACAGTTAGATCAGTGGAATGGCTTGCTATAAGAAGTTGTGGGTGCTCCATGACTGGAGGTTTTTAAGAAGAGACTAGACAATCACTTATCTGAAATGGTAAAAGTTAGGCTCTCCTGCTTGAGCAGAGGGTTGGACTAGAAAACCTCTAAGGTCTCTTCCAACTCTGTTATTATGTTACTTTGTTAAATATATGGAACAATGCTAACTATCTCAGACAACAGAGCAGGCAACTAGATTACTATTTTTTCCTTCTGCAGCCCCTTCAATGTCCTCAAAACCTGCTCTGGATGTTGGACTACTCTTTGGAGCAGATACATAAGGGAGAACAGAAGCTACAAAGGGAAAGGAATGAGTAAAATAATTCTATTGTAGTAACATATTTTCATGCTATCCATGGCAATTTAATTTACTGTAATATGCTTCTTTTAAGAATTTTCAGAAACTAGATTAGAATAAATTATAAAATATTGAGATATGGGATTCCAATTATAAATTGTTTCTATTTGTCTCTAGATGGCTTCTAGACTGAATTTAAAGTACAGTATTTGATATTATGGATTTAAGATACAATGTCCTATTTATTAAACTATATCTTAAATAAAAAGATAAAAGCAAACTGCTTTTATTAATATCAATGGGAATTACTCCACTCTAAGACGAAGGCTTCTCCAACAAAAGTTATTGGCTGCCATTTTCGTACAGTGGAGATGGAAAAGATTTTTTTTTGTTTTCCTAAAATCAACAATTAATTAATTTTTCTCTATGAGCCAATCAGAAATTTCCCAGGAAAATGGCCTGTCAACAGTAGATCGCAACTTTTTTTTTTTTAGGAACTGAAACTCTTACTGTGTAAAACCTGGAAAGCTACAAAGTGTTCAGTGCAAGCTTATAAGGATATTATGGATTTAAGATACAATGTCCTATTTATTAAACTATAAAATATTATGCCCTATGGAACGATCTCCCCGTGGAGATCCGGACACTTACTACTCTCCCGGCCTTCCGCAAAGCGATTAAGACCTGGCTCTTCCAGCAGGCCTGGGGCTGTTGATTTATCCAGCCCCATTTTATGTTATGAATGTTGTGCGATTTTAATGTCTGTACTTTTTAATTTTTATATGTTCCCCCTCCCTACTTTAGCTGTAAGCCACCCTGAGTCTCTCGAGAGTGGGCAGCATACAAGTCCTAATAAACGTAAACGATTCTCTATGATGCCATTACCTCATATGAGGTCACAGCCATAGGAGATATAGCAAGGGATACCAGGTAGTCTGTTCTCCCAGATGATTAGTGAATCTGAGTTAGGGTGCTGCTACTGAATGCCTGATCCATCTAGTGTAAGAACATACCAATTCATGGTTTGTTGGTATGTGAACAGACAGGCCTGAAGTTATTGAGATTTGGCTGAAAATTTGGCTGAAGATAAAAATGAAGTCTGTTTAACTGAGTATAAGTTCCTGCATCAAGCCTTGAGGCCAGTGACATCAGAGGGGGTAATCACACTGATTTATTGGGACACTTATCAGTCAGTGCAGGTGCTGCTCCTGCAGTGGGCAGACTGTAAGTTCTTGGGTCATATGAAAAGCTAGATAGCCTATTGCTGTACTGATTGCCAAGCTGCCCTGGAATATCCTTTCCTGGGTTCTACTAGAAAAGAAGATAAAAGCCACTGGCAAGAGGTGACTTTCCTAGTTTTGGCTGGTGCACCATTGTGGACCTACCTGGGCAGGAGGACTTTGCTACAGTGACTTCCCTTAAATTACTGCAATGTGGTGTACATGGGGCTGACTTTGAAGTTCTCATAGTCTCTGAAATTAATTCAAATTGTACTGTCTGATATACTGACTGGTGTTTGCCTGAGGAAGCATATTATATAAATGCTATGGGTCTTACACTGATTACTAATAGATCTTCCAGGTATAACTTAAAGTGCTGATATTAACCTCCATGATTTGGTGCCTGATTATCTGTAAGACTGCATTCTCCCATCAGAATTGGTCCAATTAATTCAATCTACTTTGGAGAAACTGTTAGTGGCATTACTTTTTAATAGCTGTGCCAGTCCTTTAGAGAAGCCTTTCAATGAATTTTCAACTGGCTTTTAGCCTGATTGTCTTTCAGAAACTGCTCAGAGCTATTCAAAAGCACACTGGGGCCTTAGTTTCATCTTAGTATTCTGTTGTGGCCCAGCAGGATCCGGTTGAGCTGCTGATGGACTGTGTTCTGGTTTATTCACAGGCCGGGGGACCACAACAGTATTCTATGTTTTCACTTGTACGTGGATCTTTTATTTGTGTACTTTTATAGTATATATTTTCTTCTGCATTTTATCTTGCTGAGCCCCCTCCCCCCCCCGACAAATGTAGGCAATTGGCTGTAAATTTGGTAAATAAATAATAACTTATTAAAACCATAATTTCACATAGTGTTAATATTCATTTACCCACTTCTCAAGGCATCTTCTTAAATAAGGCAAACATTTTTTAAGCAAACCAAAAACCAATGACACAGTAGTTCTGAACTGAAAGTGAACAATATGATTAATTCTAGATCAGAGCCTTGAATTCAAAATCTTCCTCAATGATGAAGCTGAAACCAACTGTTTCTCTGAAATTTGCACATAGAGATTTACTTTAAGACTAAAATAGGATGGCTTCAGGAATGCTGCCTTCTAATTTAAGCGCTCCAGAAGGAACAGATACAGAGATAATAAATACATAGAGAAAATAAAATTATAAAAATATTTGCTTCATCTTGTAGTTCGTGCAAAACACATTTCATATTTGGGCCATAGGTTTAGCAAACAAATTTTCACATAGACAGATATCTGTCTATACATAATAATCAGTTCTTGAAAGAGATGTAAAGAGACCACTCATTTGTCTCAAGTATATTGTCAGGGCAAAAAACATATATAGACAGAAAGTGCCAATCAGAGACATTTTTGCTACCTCAGATGGGTCAGCAAATCCAAGTCCTCCATCTCTTATTGGATTACCATAGCCTAATAATAATTATTTTCAGCCTAACGATGAGTATAAAAACAACTTTAATCCCAACCTGTCTTACAAAAATGACATATGCAAATATAACATAATATAATGTTTTAGGATGGGGGAAGTGAGATCCAAAGGGGAAAAGATGCTCTGGATCATGTGGGACCATTATGTAGTATCTGTTGGCAACTGTCTTAAACAATGTTTTGAAACCTCAATAACCTTAAGATATGTTGATGTGAACTCCAGAATTCTCCAGGCAATATGTCTTCTTTATTTTTATTCTATTTATTTCATGTATGTTGCTTTTTACTACCTAGAGCAGGGAACCACAAGAATGATTCTGAAAAGAGCATAAGAGCTTAGCACAAATTAATAAACGCAGTATGGTCTATATCTCCATGCCTTACTGAGTGTTACAGTAAACAGCAATGTATATATCACACACATTTACATTCTAAAGCTAGAATCTCTGACCACAGATAATAGATGACAGATAATTTGTATGGGGAAAAAACCTGCTTTAGTAAATTTCCTACTCTCATGTAGGAAGTCAAGATACTACATGAGGTTCCCCTGTAGTCTTTTCTCATAACCCTATGAGATAGATTATGCTGGTTGAAAAGCAGAAAGTAGAGGAAACTTTTAAAAGCTTCTATCATAAGAGCTTCCCTTTTAAATACCCCATACATTTGACTCTTTGGTTGACTATGAGTTACCCTCATTTACCAAGAGCAAAGGACTGAAACCTTTTTTTTAAATAATGTCATAATGCAAACCCAGTTACATCAAACATTGGGTAACAAATCTGAAAAGCTTGAGTTTGCATTATGACTGTGAAATACATGTTGTCAATTTTTCATCACTGAATTTTGTACCACATGCTTATACCAGCCAGCATCATGGTTGGGTGAGTATTTAAATGCAGATCTGAATTTAATCATTACAACAATCTGTTATGGGTACAATTGGTACAAACTTCAGCATTTTTTAAGAAAGAATGTAGGAAAAACTAGCTTTACATGTACCATATACAACACAAACTGCATTAACAATGAGTTTCTATAGCGTAGGTACTTAGTTAGAAACAAAACTGAGTTAAATGAGATGGATGAGAGTTGCAGTCTAAGAATCTAATCTTTACCTTTCACAAATTTTGGGGACAAGGAAAATGTAATTTCAACAATACTGAACTGTCATTAACTACTTTATTTAAGATGGCTGTTTTGGGGTAGGGGATGCAATTATGTTCTGGTAAATTTAATTAAACATAGGGCCTTATGTTGTAGTTTAGCTTTTATTTTATTTTACCAAGAGCTGTACGAAAACCCAGTAAGTAATGACTAAAAAACCCCGGGAGTTTACATTCCAAAGCATAGGTTTTAAAAGGCCCAGGGACGTAAAAGGCGTCAACTGCACACAACGCCCACCTTCTATCAAAACCTCAATTCCAGACCGCACGCTTTCATTGTGGGATGAACGAAGCCCCATCGTCACTTTACAACCCCCAGGGAAACCGGGCGCGAAACCTGCTTGCACATCGCGAGGCGGAGCCCTTGAGGGGAGGGGAAGAAAAAAATAAAAAAGCTCGCGAAGACTCCTTCGCGATACCCATCAGATGCCCTTTGCTTGCTATGAAATAACCTCGCCCCGAGTGGCTAAGAAATGCTCAGGGCCGCGGGGTTGCCCGAAAGGCAACGGCGAACCGAGGTTAACGGCCATGGCTGCTTGCCGCCTGCGCACGGCCTTATGAGCGAGCGCGTGGGGGGGGGATCGAGGAAACTTCCCCCCCCCCCCAGCCCTTTCGCCACCAGACTTACCGGCTGGAGCGCTGGAGCAGGACACCCCTCCCTCCTCCTCCGCCGGCCGTGGCGTTCAGGCGTCGCCGCGAATACTGACGTCACCCTAGCAACGCCAGCGCTCGACGCGCGACGTCATCGCGACGGTAACGAAAGCGGAGCTATTACATTACAAGATTATATTTTGTAGAGCCGGGTGATGGGGCGAGGAATTGTTCCTTTTTGGAGCTGGTGCTCCTGTAATTTCCAGAGAAAAAAATGAGGCGGGGCGGGGGGAGCCACGCCCCTTTTGGAAATATTTGCTCCTTAAAATCAATGGAGAAATCGCAAAACTGAAATTCAAGGCAGGGCGCCAGCGCGGGCGGTCAAAACATAATCTTTCTGTTTGAACTGCGACGAAAATTAAGAAAAAAGAAACTGAGATTTATTTCAATATTTCATTATTATTTTTTTTGTGTTAAACTAAGCTGTACCTTATGCTATCGGTTCGGAACTTGTTTTTGGGAGTAGCCCATTGCTGCTAAGATCAGTTGCGCTTTCGTTTTTTGGGAGACAACCCTCAAAGGAGTTTCTTTCACAACATATAACGAGGGTCACACTGGGCTTAAGATATATACATAGGCACGCTCTTAAAGGTCCAGATTAGTTCGGGGTTAGAGAAATCTTTTTTTTCCTGATCATCAGCCTTCTAGATCCTTGCTTCCATCTATAGTTTGGAATTTCCCTGCCCAGTTAAAAAGTAGACAGGATCAACCAACACTAAACTTTTCTCCTTGTAATATGCTATGCATTAAACAAATTGAAATGGTGATGTTAAAAAAATAATCCTTGAAAATGAATGTTAGGCAGTCCTCAATCACATTGCCCTTTTTATGCCATAATGCAGTGACAACGGAGCTTTTGTTCCTTCGTTGGTGTAGGATTCAGAATGCAGCAACCAGTTCATACAATGAAAATCACACTTGCATGTACAAGAGATACTCCTATTACTAACCTTTTTTCTTCTGTAGTCTCCAATTATGGTTGGTTGCAGTCTGCCAGATTGTCAGTCAGTTAGATTAGACTGATTTGGCATTTTTGTTTACCTATCAAGCCCTTCCCAAGGATCTGAGATAGGCAGATCTTTGATGGTATTAAAGGTATTGTTGCAGGATGAAAGATGTTCCGTGTAAAGGAGATTTTTGCAAATGACCAACTATGATTTTGTCAGTGCCAATAGAGTTCAATGGGTGTTTTGGGATTGCAACCAAAGCACTTATCGCTATTGATACTATCTTTGCTTTTTTGCCAGTTACTGCACTTCTATTTGCAGATCTTTGTATTTTGTGATTATTGAAGAAATACAAAGATCAGTGCTGATCCCCTAACAACTGCCTGGAAAAACCTTTCTTGGCAGACTTTCAGAAATGATTTATCATTTTCTGCTTCCTATGACTAGAGAAAGTAACTGGTCCAGGGTAATTGAGCAGGCTTCTAGAACTCACACTCCTAGTTTATAGCCTGATGCCTTAACATTATATATTTATTTCACAATGTTTTAGTTGTTTTTATGTTTTATGATGTACACTCCCCAAAGTCACTTATTGAGATGGGCAGCTATAGAAATCAAATAAATAAAACCACTACAAATAATCCCCATTTAATGACTCTAACTGGAACCAGCAACTCCACTGCTGAACAAAGCAAATGATAAATGGGAAAGCATGTAACCACAACTCTGCTTTCCAGCTACAAAGAGACAAGATTAATAAATTTCATACCTTTTGTTTTCTGTCTGGCTCCTAATCATTCTCATCTTTTGGAAGGCTTGTATAAATAAAAAGCAATACCATTGTGCTAACAGCTCACAGCTGGGAATTGCTGACATGCTAGGCAAACAACTTACAATACTGTCTTGAAATCTCTTCCTCTCCAATAGCTCCACTTTGTGGGGAGGCAGACCAAGTAATTTCTGTAGGCCGGTTCTCCTTTTTCTGACTCTACATACACAACAGAGAGTGATAAGGAAGGGATTTCAATAGAGTACTATGTACTTCTGCACATCAAAAGCAATATGGTTGTGCATCAGCAATGGGAAAGAAGGATAGATTGCCTATAGAAATTGTTTGTTTTCCCCATCCTCGCAGAGCAGAAATATTGGAGGAAACAAATTCACAAAAGTATTGTAAGCTATCCATGTAATGTGCCTGTGGCTTTCAGATCCAACTTGCTTGTGTGATTGCATTAGTTTCAATGTGTAGAAAAGTAAACAGCTTTCTCTCTTACAAATCCTTTCCTCTCCAATCTCTCCACTCTGCAGTCGGGGGAGGGAGAGGAAAAAACAGAGCAGGTATAGGATAGCATGGCCTAAGTGTAACCATAATCACTTGACTAAGGATTGCTGTGTATGTATTAAACAGTGGTAACTTGATTGTAAAATTATTTTTAAGCACCTTTGTAACTTCAAACAATTGCTGAACAAGTGGTTGGTAAGAGATCTGTATATTAAACTGGTTTTCAATGTAGTCTCCAAAACAAATACTGTTTTACTAACTTCCTAGTTTTCGTTTTGCAAACAACCAATAGATCCTGAAATTATTTTTCCTAGTGCCAATATAAAGAAGCATAAACAAGATTCCAGAAAGTTGAAGAGTCAGCTTCAGCAAGAGAATAAAAAAAGAATACAACTTCATAATTTAGTATGCAAGTATTTAATGTTTTTCATCTTCTTCCAGAAAAAACAGTCTTAAACTGCCATTTTGATCTTTTGTCAGCATTTCAAAATGATCCAAATACAGCAGCCACTATTTACTGAACAGGAGTTAGGAGCAAGAATTCACCAACCATAAAAAGAGTTCTATGGTGAACAGTGTTCCAGAAGAAAAAATTCAGAACATTTGACTGCATTCAGGCACCAAAGCAAAATATTTTTTTTAAAAGTTGGCTCTATTTCACTTAAACATGATTTGTACTAATTGTGGTTCACCATTTTAAAAAATCAGTTATGAAGGTTTATTCTACCCCAAGATATCCCTGCTTAGTAGAAACAAGTAAATTTCTAAAAAACAAAAAGCTGAAAGCTCTGCTTTTTCTATTGTAGATTTGGAAACTCAAACCTTGATAAAGATCTTAACAATATTGGTTTTTAGAATGACCCATAGTAAACCACAGGTTTACATGCCCCAAAAGAAAAATATTAGAATATTCTGTCTTCAGATTGAATAGGAAATTGCATGCAAGAGCCAAAATTAAGCTTCCCATTTCTTCTTGTACACAAAAGGAAAAGAGAGGAATTTGAGTCCATTAGTACACTGCTGCTCACTCCCTAACCTCCAATCTGTATGATTCTTCTGTTGTATTACACTAAAAGTGTTCAAGTTCACAACAAATTCATAAATTAAGTAGGGAAAGGAGAAACAGAATACAGGATCAGCTACTCTCTTTTCCTGACTACATCAATTGTTTTCCCTTAAAAAGGTTACATGGTTTCTTGTTGTTATTTCTAATCTAGATTAAAGTCACCATATGATTAGGGTTCAGGATTTCAATCCAGTAGCCATCAGGATCCTGAATAAAAGCCAGGCCTTTCATTTTACCTATAAAAAAGGAATATATAGTTTTAATAAATTCCAGTGTAGATCTCATTTTAAGCCTTTACAAGGTATGTGTCCCAGGATAATACTGTAGGATCCAGTCTGAGTCAGTCACCAGAAGTTCCCTGAACAACAGTCTGAAAGCTCAGAAGACAAAACCTCTGGTCCCGGTGACGGACCCAGATTGGCTCCTACTTTACAACTTTCCCAGATTAATATCAAATCTTTGCCAAGAATTCTTTTCCACCGACAAGATTTTTATCATTTATTTGCAAAAAGCAAACTGGAGACTGGACAAATAGGTTGGGGATACACATCATGCTCTCCTACACATATTTCTATATAATTTGACATTATTGATGTATTCACAAATTAATCTCAATACTACATACAAAGAAAAAGGCAATTATTGGTTCACAGCACACTCACCATCATCTGGTTTTTTCACAAATTTTACCCCCAGTTCTTCAAATCTTTTACAAGCTTTGCTTACATCAGGAACAGCAATTCCAATGTGACCTAAAGAACAGCAGAATAATCAAAAACAGTGCTATATTTGTCAATATGTGAATAATACCTTTGTTCATAAAGCATTGACATAAATCATCCATTTTTTGAAAAATAGGAAATATAGCTATTATTCTAATACATAAAGAAATATATTAATTGTATTCAATTGTATTTAAAAGAAAACACCCACAGTTTGATGTGATCCAGATGCATTGGTACAACTTCTATCATTCCCATCCAGTTCTGAAACTCAATGATGGAATTATAGAAATTATAGTCCAATAAATGTATAGATTATCAAGAAGATTCAACTTTACTGAATGAACCAGAGTATCATTGTGGATCTTACATCAACTCCAATCCCTAGTTTCTGCAATATGCTAAACCAGCAGTCCCCAACCTTTTCAGCACCAGGGAACAGTGTCATCGAAGACAATTTTTCCATGGACTGAGGGAATGGAATAAGCACGCAATCTAGATCCCTCGCATGTGTAGTAGGGTTTGCACTATGTGAATCTAATGATAATCTGAGGTGGAGCTGAGGTAGTGAACCTAGCACTGGGGACCAGCTGCAAATACATGTGAAGCTTTGCTCACTCGCCCATCACTCACCTCCAGCTCTGCAGTCCGGTTCCTAACAGGTCATGGACCAGTACCAGTTTAGACATACGCTAAAATTATCTCTAACAAATATTTGGGTAACATCCACTATTGTTGTAAACAAATATTCAATCTTATTCATTTTAATAGCAAGTCATTACTCTTTCTCCTGTCCTTAATTTCTAACAAAAGAATGTAAGTTCTCTCTATGCTTCTACACAGCAGGCTTTTTCTGTAAACATTTGAAGACGATCATGCCTTTCCTTAGTCTTCCCTTTTGTAAGCAAAATATAGTCAGAAAGCTTAACCAGTCTTTCTAAGATTTGATTTCCAAGCCCTTATCACCCTGTTACTAAACCATGCTGCACACTTAACACTTATTTGGTTTTTACCCCTGGGAATCGCTTGGATCAGTGCTTACAGTATCTTGTTGACAGCATCTTGACCCACATCGTTGTTTGTCTTTTTAAGATTTCAAGCATGCTGCCCATCTTTCTCCTTAGTACATTCAATTCTTGAAGCTGAGTACATATGACTAATTTTTCACCTTCTTCATTTTTATTAATTTCAGAACAACATAGTCACTTGGCCTCAAGGTGCCTGACTCATTCATTCCATCAATCTCCCATTTGGTCAGAATTAGACCCAGGAGAGCCAACTCTATCATCATATAACACTATCTTCTTAATAAAAATGATACTTATATCTGTCTCCTTTCTTCTGGTTTAGTTTTTATTCAGTTATTTCAATTTATATAGTCACCCATCTCTGACTCTGGTCACCTTACAAGTTAATTTTTTTTAAAGGATCTGCTTCAAAATAAATTGTTGAAATAAATTGTAGTACACTGTTCCTTTGTCTGCCCTTGAAGACACCTCAGTATATGCAGAATGCTGAAACCGATATGCTGCTTGTGTAACACCTAAACTGCAGACTCTGCACTCTGATCCTTATAAAGGATTTATTCTTGATCTTTACTCTCACCTGCTCTCCAAAATCCAGTTATTTTTTACATTAGTTGCCTTCGGAAAAGCCATTAAAACATAGCTGTTTTGACAAGCCTTCAGAGTTGTGGTATATCTGCCATTTATTTAGTAATATTCTTTCAAAATTTTTTTAACCGTGTTAGGCAGTTTTATGATTTTGCTGCTTCACAATTTTGTTATGTGAATTACCTACAGATGTGGCAGTATGCAAATAATGACAATAAATACAATGCTGATGTAAGAATATGATAATCAGCTATAATGTTGTTTTTGCCTGAAGTTCCTTCAGTAGAATTACATAGTAATTGTAAATATGGTTTCTCTGACAAATGAAGCCCAACCTAGAAGGAAATTTATACTGCCATCTGATTGTGGAAACTGAATACAACTGGATCCATTAAATTGGGGAGAGCTGATCCTAGAGCCAATGTCATCGTTTTATTTCATGGAGAAAGGTTTCTTCCATGAAAAGATTTTAAAAAATATGAAGCTGGAATAGTTCCCCACCCCCCTTTTAAAGTTAATTTTTTTTTCTAAATGACACACACATAATACATTTTGGCCTTTTTTTAAAACATACCAAATCCTCTGGGGTCTGAATTGCCATTGTGATAAGCCTGATTCTCATCATTTTCAGTGCCCCAGTTGCTGAAAGAAAGAAAGGGGAGAAATGGAACAAGTGGAGGACAAATATATATTGATTAAGAAATTCCAGCACAAATTAGAGGTTAGCTAAACTTTTTGAAAAACATTTATGCTTAAAAAACTAAAGAGAAGCCTAACCTAAGTATAGAGAACAGTAAATATATAAATTTGAACCATTAGCAAATTACAACTATTTATATTGGGATTATTGCTTTAGATAAATTAAAGCTACTGTATAATAAAAGAATCCATGTCAAAAATGAGCTGGATCCAAAACAAACTAAACCTATAAGCTTATAAAGAACAAGGGTTTATTTGCTCTGATATAAGATTGGAAGTAAATCATTGGGAAGGAATCTGAGTCTTTATTGCACAGTAAGTCTGGTCCCAAACTTGTAAAAAAACAGGTAACAACAACAACAAACAATGGCTTAACAACCATTCATTTAGTGACTATTTGAGTTAAGATGGCACTGGGTATCTATACACAGCCTTGATATAACAATTGTTATAGTGCCTCTACAGTCACATGATCAAAATTCAAATGATTGGCATCCCACTTCCATTTACAATTGTAGGGATGCTTCAATTCCCCCCAACTATCTCCATCCTTTTGGCTTTTCTGCACTCTACTGCCCCAAGCTGACACCACAGTAGCTGCTTGTATACCCTCTCACACTGGACAGCAACCATCCCCATCACGGTCATTAAGAAAACCAATTTTCCCCAATGGGTGATTTTTGTCAGAACTGGAAATAAACACCGGGAATTGGAAAAACATTGCAAATTCAGTCATGTAATTGCAAAGATGAATTGGTTGCCCAGCATTCAAAATGCAATTACATAATGGGGAATGGGTAAATTATCAACACAGAAACTTTGAAAACAGGCCATAACTAGTTTTGGGGGACTTTCAATTATCATTAAGCAACCAGTCATAAGTCATACACTCACTGTGTCAGTTCTACTGTGGCCTTCCTAGAAAAGGTCCATGCTATCCTCTCATTATTATCTTTTGGAATATCATTTTTATCTTCATAAGCCAAAAAATAGAGGGAGAACTTCATAGAAGGGAAGTCATACTTTTGTAGTAAACTGAGGAAAAAAAACATACAAATTATTTAATCCTAAACATATGATTTGCTATCATTTGTTTTACATAATTGTAAATGTACTGATTTCTTGAAGTAAAAAATATACCAAGAAAGCAAAATTTATCACACCTCAAAGATCAATAAACTCATTTGGCACAAGTTTTCAGAGAGACTACTTAAACTGAAGGAAGTCAAATCTTTCACTAAATAAAGCTGTTCCCCCACCCTTTCCTCATTGTAACACAGTACCAAGCCCTTTAGCGATCAGCTTTAGGACTGCTGTCGGCAATTTTTTAAATTGAAAAAAATCAATTAAAAATAAATCTGAAATTTATGACAAGAAAAGCATACCAAAAAGTTATATTATTATCTTATATAGAACAAATCTAGAGGGACCCTTACTGTGGCAATGTTGAGGAAAAGGCAACATTTTTGCTTATATAAAATTCCAGTATTCACTCAGAAAATATTTGGAGGAACATTTCTGAGGAACAAGATAAATTAGCCTATAGTTTGCTTTTCATTACTGAACAAAATTGCTTCTGATCAGAGATATGAATGCACTTTACAATACATCTCCCAAATATGTTAATCAGTTTTAATTCAGACTACACATAACAAGTATGGTAGCCAAAAGCAATTGGTTTCTTGTTATTTCAGAGATGCTTTTAAGTTATTATTATAATAAGTTTGTAGGCCCACCTTCCTTTTATCACATGCAGCAAATAGAACCTTGCAGGGGATTTCCATTCAAGAATGCTCCAATTTATTAGCAATAAATGTGAGATGAGGAGGAACATTCGGTTTCAAATCTTAGAGAAAAGACTGAATTAAGCATGTTTCTCACTCAAATTATTGACAAAAACATTATACCCACAAACAAAACAAAGAGTCCTTTTACTGAGCTGAGGTTTTCATCAAAGAAAAGATAAAAGGCTTTTTTTGTTTCTTTATTAGTTCATCTCTTTTGTGCCAAGTTTTCTCAAAGGCCTTCCAAATCGTTGGAGCAGTTTAAAGCAGTTTAAAATCTTTCATTAGTGGAGGACTACATTCAAGATTCTTTTGTTTTAAAACGGGTTAAAATGCTAATGAAGACAAGTAAATAGTTTTTACTTACGTCATCCCAAGAATTCTAGTATAAAAATCCAGTGATTTTTTAGGATCTTTTACTCTTAGCATTGTCTGCTGCATAATAAAGTCCTACAAAAAAATACAACTTTGGTAAATCAGATCACTCAACAACATAGAATATAATTTTCCTAGAGACAAAAAAAATGGCCATGATAAAATATTTGTTTTGGTATCAGATTAACAGCACAATACTACATAGTTAGTTCTTGCATGGTGTTAGCAGGATTCTGGTGGATGTTATTATTTTGATGCCTGTGGTACTAAATAACAATCAAAGAACCATTGTTTTGAAAGGAAGCTTCAAGTTCAAAAAATTTTCTCAGCCTAAGAATCTAAATTAAAACATTGTAAGAGTTAACTGTCCAGGGCCCCTTAAATACGTCTCCTTCCTTGAAAACTGGTTCAGTTTACACCTGTTCTTACTGATAAGAATGTTTCTAACTTTTATTGGGCCCTTCAGGAAAATTATTCCATTTCATATTCTCTGGGATAACAGAAAAGATTGCTGTATGTCACCCTTACAGGATCTCTAAAGTGTGATCCTGCTCTCCTTGGATTTTGTTTTTCCAAGCTAAATGAACCCAGTGTTCTCAGTCTCTATTTAAGACTTGAAATTTTTTTCCTGATTTTTCTTAATATTTTCTTTCTACTTATTCCAGCTTCATTTAAAATAATAATAATAATGGACACGGGATGCAAAGATCACCAATTAGTGCCTCATATAATGAAGGGCTGTAGTGTGTTCGGATTCAAAGATGCTTCAAAAAATTCCTGCCTGCAATTCCTTAAAGCAGTTTCATCTGCAATGCAATCCCAGATAAAGATTTGTTTGGCTTAAAGAATTAGACAGATACCACCATTTGTTCAGTGATTGTTCAAGTTACAATGGTGCTGAATGAGGGGGACTTATGAGCAATCCATAAAGTTGAAGTCCTCAAAGTGTCTCTCTAGTAACATGATTGTCATTGGAAACTGCCTTGCACTTAAAAAGGTTGCACGGTCCTGCAGCTAGGTGATCACCATTTGTGACCTTTCCTGGCAGTTTTTCATAAACAAAGTCAATGGGGAAGGCAGGGAAGGTCACAAATCTCTCCCCATAAGTCATTGCTACTCTCACCACTTTTTCTCCCCAGGAGCTCCTGGGCAACACAGTGCTAGGATAGGGAGCCATTAGTAAGAGAGGCTTGATTTAAATAACTCTTGCAACATACTTCTTCTATTTTATCATTTCAAAACCATATTATAGTATGTTAAATGGAACTAAAAAAAATTATGTTGCTAAGACATTTTTAAGTGAGTTTTGCCCTATTATTACGACTTTTTCCCCACAGTTGTTAAATGATTTGCTATAGTTGATTACTTAGTAACTCAGTTAAGTGAATCTGGTTTCCCCATTGACTTTGCTTGTCAGAAGGTTATAAAATGTGATCACATAATCTTGGGACACAGCAACAGTCATAAATATGAACCAACAGCCCGGCATCTAAATTTTGATCACATAATCATGGGAATGCTGCAAAGATCGTAACTGTGAAAAACAGCCAGAAGGTAAAAGTAAAGGTTCCCCTCGCACATATGTGTTAGTCATTCCTGACTCTAAAGGATGGTGCTCATCTCCATTTCAAAGCCGAAGAGCCAGTGCTGTCCAAAGACGTCTCCGTGGTCATGTGGCCGGCATGAGTAAACACTGAAAGCGCATGGAATGCTGTTACCTTCCCACCAAAGGTGTTTCCTATTTTTTCTACTTGCACTTTTATATGCTTTCGAACTGCTAGGTTGGCAGAAGCTGGGACAAGTAAGGGGAGCTCATTCCATTACGCGGCGCTAGGAATTTGAACAGCTGAACTTTCTGATTAACAAGCTCAGCATCTTAGCCATTGAGCCACCGCGTCCCTGAAAAACAGCTATAGGTCACTAAATGAACTTTTGTAAGTTCAAGGATTCCCTGTAATCAATTCAGGTTACAATGTGCAATCTTACAATCCTAAACAAATATGAGGTGTCCTTGATGCTCTTTGAGCTTGATTGTTTTCTTGCATGTTTCATTTCTCAACTAAGTAACATCATTAGGCCTAGCACTCGTTCGGCTAATGAAACAAAATGAGGAGCTCTCATTTCAATCCTGAGCCACAAATATTCTCCTTTATTGGCTATGCTAATAAAGTATAAAGTAACAAAGTATAAAGTAATTGTGCAGAATTGCTTTCCTAAGCTTGGGGAAGTCCAGATATGAACCAAAATTCTCACTGTGCAATGTTTCAGAGGATGGGAAGTGCTGGCCAAGCAGATGGACCAGGCTGGAAAATAAAGAATATTTGTAGCTCAGAGTTGAAAGGAGGGGTCCTGAGCTTGCTTGTTTTCTTGCAAGATGTTTCATTACTCAAACTAATGGGTAATGCTAACATCATCAGTGTGAACACCAGAACTGCTGAAAAATCCTGGTGTCATGATGGACTGTCAGTTTTAGAAAGTAAATATGCTAGGACTGTTCTCTAAAGGGATTTTTTTGTTTTTTATTTTAAAAAAAGGTTTGGGGGAAGCTGTGAGAACTGCAGAGGTATCCATGTCTAACTATATTGAAGAGCCTCCTCCTTCAGACCTCTCTCTCATGTAGGTGCAAAGAATACACATTTATTATGTTGAACAAAGAAATGAAGTGGTTGGTGTAATACCCTTGGAGCTAGGCTAGGCTAGAAATAAACCCAGCCAATTAAATAATGTGTAGCGTTTATTGTTTGGGTAATGAAAACTCTGGCAAGAAAACAAGCAAGCTCAGAGATCACCGAGGACCCCGCAGGCTGGAAAAGGCTGGCATATCAGGCAACAGCATTCCGGGAAGGATTTGCAGCCAAGATTGAGGTAATTTTTTTTTTTTTTTTTTTTTTGGCTTGGCTAAGGGTTCTGGCTTCCATCCTGTATTCCGCAACCCCTAAATCTTGCGAGCTCTACCCGTTCTTTCGGTGGGAGCCAAAGTCGCTCGCAGTGAAATCAAGAGTGGCCCCCTTCTTCCCACTTTCCAGCAAGCTCTCGCTATTTGTTCAACGGTTTCCTCCTCCTTGCAAGTCACTTCTTTCTCTTTACCTTCGTTCTGGGATCGGGGTCGGCACAGGCGCTATAGGCTTCTTCATCGCTCAGACCGGTCACCTCGCTTTGCTCCGACATGCTGGAACCTAGGAACCAAAAAGCCACACAGAATTACGCCCATGCCATCCCCTCCCTGACACGTATTTTAGAAGCGACGAGAGAGAGAGAGAAAAAAATGAGCGAGGAGACTCTCCAGCCAATAGAGGCAATGCATGCAAATCGGGCAAATCCGTTGTTCCTACAATTCCCAGCATTCTTTGCAGCAGAAGGGTGTTTAATTCCACCCTCCTCTTTCGCATCCCCAATTCCTTTTAAAGAAAAGATGATTCATCCCCTATAACTGATGAGGAAGTTAAATGCTACTGCGGGAAAGCGATGACCTACGGCCCGGAAAATTAGAGCAGTTGAAAGAGCAACAACAACAAAAGCAAGAGCAGCTGTATGATTTATACCGTAGTTGACTGCAAAAAACTGAAAGAAAAGAAATATATATTTTTTAAAAAACAAAATTATGTATGTTAATTCTAGCATAACTTTTTAAAACTATTAATACCGTACCTCCAATAAACCTCAATCAATTTGATCCACATGATAAAATTTGAACCACATTCATGCTCTTTGAAAGCAAAGAACAGAGTAAAAAAACTTCACAGCTAACAGAGACTTAATGGAAGATTTTAACTTGTTTGGTATTACAAAATCCAATTTTCTGAAATGTAATGGTAGCTTGTAAAGCATTGGTTTTTAAAGTCAGTGTTTATTATATCAAATAAGGCATCTGGAAATAAATAGTTGAGCAGAAGGCTGCAATTGAAGAAACTGTTATTAAAGCAGTGTTCTCCAACATATTATTGTCCCCCATGTACATTACCCGAATGCTTATTCAATAAAATATGAGTTGGCTCAGTTAATGCAGCAATTCATTCATTTATGCTTTCAAGTTAGTATTGACTTGGCAACTGTCTGGACCAGTCCCTGCAGTTTCTTGGCAAGATTTGCAGAAGTAATTTGCAGCATAGTAAATCATAAACAATTTATAAATTACACTCTTTGGTTTATCACATCAATCCCTTGGGGTAATTTTCTTGGATTAATCTGGCAGACTGGAACAATAAGAGCATGGTTTAAGCTTTTTCTTCAGGGCTTTTCAAAGTACTGTCCTCTTCCTTCTTTTCGCCAGGTTAAATGACTCCAATTCTTCCAGTCACCCAGTTTAAACTTCTCTTGCCTGATCATTCTTGTGTACTTCTGAATCATTCCAACTTCCCAGGAAAAAAAAACATGGTGTAAAGAAAAGCAGGCAGGAAGGAAAAGGTCACTGACCACTGTGATTATAAAGAGCAGCTTATACATGGCTTCTTATCAAAAGTGCTTTGGAGAATGCATGTTTGCAACTCCTTAAAACAGCTGAGCACAGTTGCCTGTAAATAGTTCTGTGCATGCACAGAACATTAAAAGAGGACAAAAAAAAAACATGCCGGCAATGGCAGTGGTGACCAGGAAACTGGTTCAGAGGCGTGGCCAGCCTGGGTCGCTGTCAGTTCTGCGATCGGGGAGAAAATACCACTACCGGTCCGCCGGAATTGGTGCGGTAGCAACCCACCTCTGGCTTGCATTTCTGCCCGGAGTGCACATTTTTGCCTTTAATTAAGGCATTGCAAGTCATATGTATATGTGATAGATTTATTAGAATTCTCTGTAGGATTATGAGAGGAAAAAATATAACTGAAAACTTCAAAAGACAATAATCAGCAATAGCTGGACTGAATAAACTGGATTAATAGTCTGAGTCAAGTTTACTACAAATGTTAAACTTCTTTATATCATAAATTTTCCAGAAGGTTCTGAAGAAACATACCTTAGTCTTAAACTGAATGTTTGTTGAAGTGTTTGAAAAAGTTGCATAATAACATAATACAGTAATTCAGAAGCATTTGTAATCATGTTGTCATCCTTTACTAGCACACACTAATCAAAACAACAACTCTCTTGATCAAAAGAGTCTAAATTTAAAGGGACTAGAAGGATATGCCAAGATACTGGCTGAGTTAATAAAGCACAGTAAGGTAATAAACTATGGTTTATAAATGAGAATATTTGATCTACTATAGCATTCTCTCAGGTTGTGTTTATATAGAATGCATGCCCATGATTAAACGTGGTTTAGCTAAACCAATGTTGAGGTTAGAATGACACACTAACCAACAAACTATTTACTTTGAAGAATGTATTTATTATATATTATAACTATATGACTAATCTTTTCTTATTAATTTGGTTCTGCACAAGACTAATATAATCCAGATGATCATTTATTCATGATCAGACAAGAGGCAGAGATTCTCAGGCTGATCTCTCACAATCTCTCTAATAGGTTAGAATTATTTCTCTATGAAGCTTCTAGGCAAAAATGAAACCCCAAAAGTGCCCAGTAGGCATCTTTTAGAATCAAAACGCTATAGCTTCAAATTGCACAAAGGACAAGCTGACTATTGCATTCACTAGGTTTTAAGTATGAAAAATGAGTTTACTGTTCTTCCAATACCAAAAAAATTCAACGTAATGATAGCAATGTTTTAAATTTAAAGGAGAATTGAAATGTGTGACTTACTATTCAATATAAAATTAATATTTCTGAGAACAGGAATTAAATAAAATGTTCAAAATTCTATAATATTTTTTAAATAAGCTAAAAGCAAAGCTGAAATAAAGTCTCCATACAGAGTAATAGTTCCCCCAAGAATGAATACAAAAATACAGTGGTTAGCAGAAAAATATGCTGATTCCAAGTGTTTTTTTTTCCTTTGGTCATATTGTGAATATTTGCAAGTTGGAAAAGACCGCATTCCAGGAACCATCTCTTTCAGCAATGGAACAATATCTATGAGATATTCCTACTCAGCGGTGGGATTCACTTACCTTCCCAACCAGTTCGCAAATGTGAGTGTGTGCCTCTTGCACATGCGCAGTGTTCGCACATGATGTCAGGAGTAGATGGGCAAAGCCTCCCGCAGCCTCCACTACCGGTTCATCCAAACCAGAGAGAATCAGCTGAATACCACCTCTGTTCAGACTGCTGGGCAGTAATGCTGCATTTTTATTCCATCCCATTATTAGATTGATAGATTCTGCACTCAACTGCCAGTGTGGCCCTTGCACAGCTTAAAGGTTCCATGTCCTTCCACATATAGTCCCAGCTTAGTACTTGAAGCCTTTGGAAGCTTTGCTGCAAATGTGCTTTCTCTGAATTCTTCCGCCCATCTTTATTAGACTTCATTTTCTTTTGAGCTCAAGAGGGAGACTGCTTAACACTCAGTGGATGAAGTTAACTTCCTAGAGGTCTGCCCGTTTTCTTGCATCTTTTGAACAAGGTCAGTGAAGAAAGAATTTTGGCTTGAGTTTTATTTGAGAAAAAGATAAGGAAAGTTGGTTCATTTAGACACAAACTCATTGCCCTCTTATTCTACCAAGAGCCTGTTGTGCTGCTCTTTAAAGATAGCAGTAATAATTACATGATTAATTTCCTATCTTCCAATATATGAAGGATCATTTCATCTTAAACATTACAAGAGGAAAAGAACTATTTTAAATAGATTTTATTTAAAACAAATATTTGTTTATTTCTTTTCAATATTCTAATTTTGAAATAACTCAGTTGGTCAAATATAGAAGAAATCAGCATGAAATACAAATTATTTGCTACATACCCATTATCCTACTCCATATAGGGGTAAGCCACATTTTGCCAAGAGCAAAAAGCAAGTAATAGAAAATAAACAAAATTAAAGACATGAGATCAGAGAAAGAAAAGGGAATATAACTAAAACTAATTTACATCATTCATTCATCATCATCTTTATATCTCCTTGTCTTTGCTAACAAGCTTCCAGCACATACATATCATATATGTGTGTGTTTTGTTAAGATACAACCTGTTGTGCCTTAAAATGGCTTCTACTGTACTGCCATAAATGTACAGTACAATTGCCATGGTAACAGCTTCACAGTACTCCATTAAGGAGCTCCCTTTGGTAAGGGGGAAAATCCAACATTAGAAATTGCATTTGCTCCAGACATTTTTTCCCGATAAGTAAATACCGGGGCAACGCTGGGTTATCAGCTAGTATAAAATAAAAACATGCACAGGTAGCCCTTGGTACATAACTGGTCACAAAATTCAGTGTCACTTATGCTGAACAGAAGGAATAGGTTTAGCAGAGGAACACCAGTTTATAGTAGCTGTACTGATTGCCAGTAGGCTTCCAGTCCAATTGAATGTCCTTGTTTTTACCTATAAAGGGGCTGCTTATTTTCTAAAAGAAAAAAACAGAAAAACCAAGAACCTAAAAAGGGAGGTGTTCAAAAGAATATCTTAGTTATTCAGGCATACTTGATACTCTAATAGAAAAGAGTATTTGTAGTTCATGGCTGAACTATAGAACTGATTCTCTGATACACCAGTATCTACTAAAATCGATTATTCCAGACACTGTTATTTTATTATACCTTTTGATTGCAGTACCCTCATGGCCTGAGCTTCCAAGAAATATTTTTGGGAAGAAATAGGTGCTGTTCTGCAGAAAAAGCAATATGAACCAGGCATTTTTCCTAGCTATGTGGTGGAAGATCTGAAAAGTGGTTTATTCTCAAGATTGCTTAAAGTTTCATTTTTATGTAGCTTTTTTGCGAAATGGTGCCACTGCATTGCAGCAGGTGTCAAGAAAGTGCATTCTGTCAGATGACAGGAAATACTTTCCTGATGTGAGAGGCTTTAGTATTGTCTTCTCACCCAACATCAATACAAAAGAATAAAACAGTCCTTGAACTTTTTTATGCCATTCTAGGAGAAACTCTTTATTCTGGAGAGAAGCATTGTTCCAAAGGGAATTTTTTTCAGAGCTGCATAATAGCACTTATATGTTGCTTCTTAATGCATTATAAAAGTTTACAGAATTAATATATTACCCCCAACAATCTGAATTCTCATTTTACTGACCTCAGAAGGATGGTAGGCTGAGCCAACCTTGAGCCAGTCAGGATCGAACTCCTGGCTGTGGACAGAGTTAGCTTGCAGTAGTGCATTCTAACCAGTATGCCCACCAAGGCTCTTATGTTCAGGACCAGATACAAATGAAGGGGGCTCAAAGTGTTCCTTTCTTTCTCTAACAGTCCTTCATTTTTCTCCCTCAGTCCCTTTCCTCAGATGGCTACTGAGGAAAAAACAAGATGGGTCAAGGAGCAGGTCTGAGAACTGTTCATTTGAGAACACTAAGGTAGATGCCTAGAGGTGAATTTGAAAAATTTAGGTTTAGATATAAGATATAATTCTTTGGAAGTGATACACACTTTAAGACGTTTGGCCTCTTCTATTCTAAACTACCACTTTGCAAGAATTACAAAAAGTCTTATAAACCACAGGAATAAAAATGGAGAATGCAGCGGATAGTAATCCAGACCCTGATCAGGATGAGCCTGCTGCTCAAGCGGAAAACCAGCCTCCTCCACCAGAGATTATAGAGCCTACTCCTGAACCCCCTGAGGACGTCTCAAAACAGAAAGATGCAGATTTAGCCGACCGTTCTCATTTGAAACCCCCTGTTCGTACAAGCGGAGAAACTGCAACCCGTAGAGCATCTAAATTTCGCCGAAGTAACAGCGGAGTTCAGTCACTGCAGGAAACTCTGAAAGAAAAACAGGTTTGTAATCATGATGCACACAGTAATAACTTTTAAACTCTCCAAAATTAGCCTTGATTTCTGCCTCTTGATCCAACTATTTGACGCTCTTTGTTCTCAGTTAATATTTTTCTGCATTACATATTACTGTATAATTTGAGGCAGTCATGTGGGTAAAAGTACAAATCTCATAAATTGTTGCCATGACAATAACCCTAATAACCTGAGGAGCACAGTTAGGATAATATGTAAGGTGACCAGACGTCCCGATTTTGGCGGGACAGTCACGATTTATAACAATTTGTCCCGTGTCCCAGGGCGTTTTTAAAAAGTCCCGATTTTCTGGCTTCATGTTGAAAGCCCAGTGGAAATCCTAACCGGGGCAAGACAAAAGACACTCTGTCTAACGTCTATCTATGTCTCAGTACTTTCATTGAA